CTCTTCGTTTGCTATCCCTTAATCTGAAAAGCTTTGGAGATTACACAGATTGAGGCAGAATTCAGTCACTGGAAATAACTGCATTCTTTGTTGTGTGGCTTCTCTTTATTGGACATGTGTGTTGCCTTCCTAAAGCCTGAAGATTACTTAACAACCTGAGACTGTGATCAGGCTGAGCAATCCATGTCATATGCCTTATTGCTACCAAACTCAAGGAGGAGGGAAAAAAGAACAGTCACAATCTGTCTGTTGGAACTGTTGCTTTCCCCTTGCCCGGAGCCAACACACAGCTTCTCCTGTCTTCCAGGAACTGGTCTTCCCTGCTAACACTTGCAGCCAAGTCACAGCCAGGATGCTACTTACCCAATGGTACCAACGTAGAGATACAAAAAGGCATCCTTTCTGCCCTGCCATGCATCAGTCACCCACTAGGCCTCTGCATATTCATAGTGTCCAGATCTCAGGGATCTGGGGTGCATTCGTGATTTGCGAGGGTGACTACAGATGGCAGATTTTCAAAGGTATTAACTTTGTCAAAGGAATACAGTAAAGAAAATTCTCTAAGAAAAGGATGTAACAGGATGCAGGGAGAAAGTGAAAAGCAAAAGAAAGGAGTTTCTCCAATAACAGCCTTTCTTGTCTTCTTAAGGGAAGCTGGAATGCTTGAGGCCAGCTGCAGGAAAATTTATTCCAATTAAGCAAGTATTTTGAGTGTCTTTATGCTTGTGTCTGTGAGCAAAACTCTTGAATGGTGGTATAATTCTCTGTGCATAGGTGGTTTAATTCGTAGCACCTAGATTAGTTCTAAGCTCATAGGCACTCAACAAAGCAGTAAGTAGTTGATTTGAAAGAATTCTATCACTTGGTTCTTAAAAGAACTCTCAAACTGAAACTTAAAGAAGTTAAGTGACTAGCTCAAGGTAACATTGCCAGGAAGTCATAGAATCCAAATATAACTAATATAAATGTAATTAATAAGTACATCCTCTTTCCCTTGATCATGGAGAGAAAGAAAATGGGCCTCAACTTCCTGGTTGAGAGAATGGGCTCCATGGGCCAAACTCCTTGTGTTCGAATTCTTGCTCTACCTTTTAGAAGCTCTGTGATTTGGCTGAGGGGAGCAACGTAACCTCTTTGTGCCTTGGTCTTGACCTGTGTATGATGGGGATAAGACAAGTGTCTACTTCAAAGCATTATTTCAAGTACGAAATGAGTTAACATGTGTAAAGACTTTATAATAGTGCTTGATATATTGTAATCACTCAGTTAATCATTCGTTCAGTTAATCCTTTTAGCTATTTATATATGATTATTAGAGTCAGGGGATATATTCCATCCAGTCATAAAATCCACAAATTAAGATGTAAGGTCTCATATGTTATATCTCTTGAAAACATAATGCAAATGAGGGAGTAGAGAGAAGTGATTGAAAATCACCACAATCTTCCTTCGCACTAGAATGATACATCACCATCATCTTCATCATCACCATCATTTTCAGTATCTCATCGCCAACTTCCATTTTATAACACATTCACTTCATGTTCCGCTTACACACAAACTTCTCCACTAGACAAGAAAGGGACCCATGTTGAGGTCTTCATTCTTCAGTCAGGTTAAGAAAGACAGAGATGGAAATTTCACTGTCCTCATGTGAATATCTGACATTTTCAGCTAGGATGACAGCCTGACACATGGAGATACATTAGGGCATAGGTTGAATGCATCCACCTTCACGTTCTATCACTGACCACTTAGCATTCCTTAATATCACTGAACCTCAGTTTCTTCATATGTAAAATGAAATAAAAATAATAGAAAGAAAATATAGGTAGAGTGTCTAGCTCAGATTACTCTAGGTAAACACCGAATTAATAGATCTTATTAGTCATTTGTCCTTTCTGAACCATTTCCCATTTGATACAAGTTCTAATAAAAGACAAATGTGCTCCAAGATCAGTAAAATAGAATTAATCCAACACATGAAAGAGAGGAATAACCAAATACGTTGAGAGATGAGATAGTTCCTATAATTAGGCATCATATATGACTCTGAGCCTCCTGGAAGCTAGGGCAAAAATGAAAACTAACAGGTTTCACAAAAAGGAAAAAGCAAAAGAAATAAGGTCTAAACTGGCAATAAGTCATGAGACATTTCTCATGTAAAACCTTATAAAAGTAACATTGAGTGTCATGGTAGACAGGTCTCCTGACATCAATTTAATTTTAAAAATGCAGACCATATTTTTACTTGGATCTTTTAATAAGGAACTTGGATAGCAGCTGAGAGGTTAACATCAAAATCCATTTCAGTTCAAATGATTCTGGAGAGGATTAAGCTGATATGGTCTGAGAATGATGCCTAATGGTAATCAAACATAATATAAGAGCAGAATCAGGAAAACACAACCAATCTGAGTGCTGTAGAATAAGGAATTTATTATAGCAATTCAACTTTGCGCTGTTGTGGGAGGTGCTGGGAAAGAAAGGGTGAGAAAAGGGAAATTGGCAGATCAGGGGAAAATCACCAATTAGGTTTTCTGAAGCACTGGCACAGGGGAACTTGGAAGCCAAGCACCTCCAGCAACTGGGGTGGGCCCCCAAGCAGGGTTGGTGTGGAAGTCTAGGGAGGCTCCTGCCTCTTTATGGCTAGTGCCTTTGGGAGTTTGCAGCCAGGAGTCCAGTGGTTGGCCTGGAGTTGCTGTTAGTCAACAGAGCTGGGAGTCAAAAGGGAGAGCTGTACTTGAGGTGGGGGAAAGGGTGATCACAAACCAGAACCCACCTCTGCACCAGCCTCTCTCTGTATCTGATCACCATGACCTTCAGAACATCGTGGCTGCAGCCTCACTTCACCTCTCTGAATCGCTCATAAAGTTCTCATTTGGCCAACTCCAGTCTGGAAACATACAAGGAAGAGGATTCTGGCAAACTTAGCACCAGTTTAGCCAAGTGGGCCTAGAGCAAAAATCACACAGAACTCCATTCCAACTGGGATTTGAGGCAATTCAATTCAGATCCCAGTGACTTGAGGAAACTCTACTGATCTCTGTGATATATATATATATATATATATATATATATATATATATATATATTACATATGCTTATTTAAAACCCAAAATAACCTTGTGGACCAGATAGCACATGTATTATTTTTGGGAAAAAACTGAGAACCGAAATGGTTTGTCCATCATAATTCTGATAAGGCTGAGAATCTGTGCCCTGAGATCCTTTAATATTCTTGTCACCACACCTGGGGACTTTTCCAAAATCATAAGATGAAAGGCAAGAGGTGAAATATAAGGTGACTTTCAAGTGCTTGCATTTCCAAGTGATGATGGCTAAAAATGTGATTGCAAGTCTGTACTGTGATTTTTGAGAACTTGATATCACATCATTGGAAAGACATTTCTTGCATCTTTTTTGTGGTCTCATAAGATTACTACTATTCTCCTCATTGTTGCAATTTGTTCTAGTTTCCCTTTCCCATTCTTTCTAATCCAAGGAGACGTTTTCAAAAGTTATTGCAATCATCCAGTTAGTATTAAATACTACATTTTAAATTTAAGATTTTTAATATCAGAGCTGCAAAACTTCTGAAAATTGTCAGATGGTCAATTTTTTTCTCCTTTATTATACATTTGATATTTTCTGAGAAACTACATGGTTTTTTTGTTGTTAAAATGATCAGACTGAAGATATCTTAAAGACATATTTCTTTCCCTTGGTTAGTATTATAAATGACAATTATATAATAAAGTAAAATCTTAGCCTTAAGTTGTATTTTCTTCCACAAACCAAAAAATAACCTTTGTTATGTCAGCTAATTTATGCTCAGCCTATCCTTTTTAACAATGTTTTTCTTATATTTGGAATGTGTCATTACATGGGATAATAATTTTGTGGCCCCAGATAAAGTAATGGAAGAAATAGAAGAAACTCAGTCTTATATTTATGTACAGATATTTGGAGTATTTCCATCTTGTAGACTTAAGAGTTATTCTCGTCCTGGCCTCTTATTTCAAAACTACTTCTCAGAGTTCTCACATTTATGTTTATCCTCATGGTAAATTGTTTTAGCATGGTAATATGCACAGATCAATTGCTGATGGCAGTAATGCTAGTATCGATCATGTATAAATATGTAATCGCTGAGAGACAAATGAGACATCTCCCCCTTCTTTTGGCCTGGTACAGTTTGCTCTTCTGGAAGATGCCTTTAGTACAAAGAAATTTCCAGGGATTTCTGAAAGCACATGGATTAAGCACTAAGAATTCTTTCAAATCAACTGATCTGCAGATGAAGAAATGCACAGAAATGACGATTTGTCCAGCACCGTGGACAGAGCCACCATGCTGCCATATTGGTGCAACAGATGGTGGCCCTGGGTGTTGTCACCCAGAAGAGCTCTGTAGCATTCATCCTATCTCCTTAAGCCTTTCCTTTTTCCTTTTTCTTCAGTGAGTTCTTCTTCTTCTTCTTCTTCTTCTTCTTCTTCTTCTTCTTCTTCTTCTTCTTCTTCTTCTTCTTGATAATTTCCTAACTCCTTAAATACTAGGATTTCCTAGTTGTTCATAATTTGAATTTTGGTTGTTTGGTTCTGGAAACTTTTCTTAAAAATGCCAATTTTGCAATATTATATTTTCCAAGCCTCTTAACATGATTTTCCTCCATATTATTTCTCTTGTCCCAATATATGTCACATTTTTGTTCTTCTATGTTGTGTTCTTTTGTTTTGTTTTATGTTGGCTACTGTGTTCACCCAGCCAAGCTCCCATAAGGCTGAGATTTGTTTTGGTTATAATTCACAAGATTCTTTTGGTCAGGTCACAAGTGCTCTGTCTACATATGTAATTAGTTGAATGTAAAAGTATTCTATATCCTGAAAATATATATCATGTGTCATGTTTTACATAGGTGATATGTCAGTCAGGGTATCAGCAAGAAAGAGATGGCATACACAGAAGAATAGTTGAGAGTTTATTAACGGATTGTTTATAAATGTATGGGAGGAGCAAGCAAATCCAGTGAAGCATAGTGAAGCCCATGGGACTAGCAACATACTGGAGCCATTTTCCAATTAGGCCTAAAAAGACAAGGGGAGGGGCTGGTTAATGGAATCTGGAAAGGGCTCCCTGACAGGAGCTCTGAAAGAAGTGAAGGCAATGTGCAGAGATCTAACACAGAAGGAGCCTAGAAAATGAAAACCCTGAGCTGACTCTCCCACCCAACTCTCCAATGTTTTAAACAGTGCCTCCTGTTGGCTAAATCCAGTGGGAAGCTGTAAAGCAACAAGTCTCAGTGATATGATCCATAAAAGCCAATCTCCAGGCACAGCACACAGTGGAGAAGGATGGAGAGATCTGATTGGGAAAATGGAAATAACCAGACATATATAGTATGCACAGTTGGAGCTACATATTAATATCTGATAATGTTGAAAAATTACAAAGATAAACTCAGGTCATATTGCAGAACCCAATCTGTCCATATGTACCACGTAGTACTTATAACAAGTGACTGATCCTCAAGAGTCTCTTGCTCAGATAATTTGTTCGTCCTTGAGGATCAAAGCCAATTATTTTTCATGAAATCCTTCACTCAACACCACTCACCACTCAATAAATTAGTCAAACATGAGTAGGTAATTCACCATTGCCTACCACTCTAGCATATTCCTGACATACTTTTAAGTCAATATATTCGGCCATACCTGCAATTGACTTCATCTTCTACCAAAATCTTTTCCTCGATACAGTCAATGATTTAGCTTTTAAATTTTCCCTTGATTAAGGTGGAACATAGCTCTTAAAATTTGAAAATAGCCACAGTGCTGAGGTTTTTGACAAATCATCTCAGCTAAAAGACGCAAGCTCATGCTCCTTATTTATTCATCTGTTCTTGCCAAGGAAACTTGCCAGCTCCTCCTGGTGCATGTCTCCTGGGAAAAACGAGAAGAGAAATAATAAGGGCACCTTAGAGAAACAACATAATTTTACATAAAATATTGTGGGCAATGGTGAAAGTTGAGATGGTTTTGCCATTTCATGTGGAACTGAGAAAAATAGCCCTCCTTTCCCTGACAGTGAAAGAAATATGAAGACACATTCTACCATAGATCTTTATCTTTTTAAATATTCATCACCATTTTAATCCTGACGTTTATATACTATTACATGGCAAAATGACAAACTGACTTCCTCTAACAAAGACTGAACCCATGATCCCATGATTTGGCCATGTCACCTCCATACTGTAACCAACTGAATCAAACTGTTATCAAAAAGTCACCGACATAAGTCAGTGACATGTTTATGCTAAGTGCTATCATTCCTATTGGCCTCAAACAAATGTAAGAGTCATTCTTAACACCCACAAATAAATAACCAGTGCATTGAATGTTACTCTCTCTACCTGGTATTTACAGGATGTGTTAGTACATCATCAGACCATTTATAACATTTTAGCTTTATTTTAGTAAACATTTCTCAATATAGTTCTGCTCATAAATTGCCCCTTATCCTAATGCATTTTCATCTTTAATGAACAGGTATTGTAATAGATATCTGTTCTTTTTATCCATCTATCATCCTTGCCCCTTTCTGTGGGGTAAAGTTTTCATTTAATTAAAAAAGATTGTTTTGTTTTCAAAGTTTTTATTCTATTTTCATAATAAAACACTGTGGCCCCAAGGAAAAAAATTGTTTTCTACTTTGGCAGACAATGTGCTAAGTCAGAAGTCACAGATGACTTTAGGGTCAGGAATGTAAAGCACATAAGTCAGGAGGCTTGGTGAGGATTCCAGCAAATTGGGCAGCTCAATCCCTATTACATGGAGTGGGGAGAATAGCAGCTGCTAAATTCAGCTAATTGTCACCATGTTGCCAAATATTTGGTTATTCTAAAAGAAGCCACATCTCTGAATGCTTTATGGAAAATAATCAATTTTAAAGGATTATGACTCTTTTTATTAATACTGCAATCCATATAAAACTTACTTGCAAGCTAGATGTTACTGGTGTGTAATCTCTAGCATAAATTAATGCATAGTGAATAGAGCTGCAATAAATATGGATATGCACATGTCTCTTTAACACACTAATTTCATTTCCTTTGGAGATATATATATATCCAGTTATGGGATTGCTGGATTGCATGGTAGTTCTATTTTTAATTTTTTGAGGAACCTCCACACTGTTTTTCATAGTTGCTGTACCAAGTTGCATTTCCACTGACAGTGTATAAGAATTCTCTTTTCTCTGCATTCTTGCCAGCATTTGTTATTTTTTGTCTTTTTAGTAATAGCCAGTCTAACTGGGGTAAGGTGATATCTTATTATGGTTTTAATTTGCATTTCTCTGATGATTAATAATGTTAAGAGTTTTTTCATGTATCTATTGGACATTTGTATGTTTTCTTTTGAGAAATGTCTGTTCAGGTCTTTTACCCATTTTTTAATTTTATTATTTGATTTTTTTGCTATTGAGTTGTTTGAGTTCCTTATAAATTCTGGATGTTAACCCCTTGCTAGATGCATAGTCTGAAAATACTTTCTCCCACTCTGTAGGTTGTTTCTTCACTATATGGATTATTTCCTTTGCTTTGTAGGAGCTTTTTGTTTAGTGTTATCTTATTTGTTTACTTTTGCTTCTGTTCCCTGTGCTTTTGATGTCTTATTCAAAAAATGCTTGCCCAGTCCAATTTCATGAAGTGTTTCCCTTATTTTTTCTCCTAGTATATTTTATAGTTTCCAGTCTTACATTTAAGCCTTTAATCCATTTAGAGAAGATTTTTATATATGCTAAGAGATAAAGGACTAGTTTAATTCTTCTGCATGTGGATATCTAGTTTTCACAACACCATTTATTGAAGAGACTGTTCTTTCCCTAATGCATGTTCTTGGCATCTTTATCAAAAATCAATTGGCTGTAAATGCATGGATTTATTTCTAGGTTTTCTATTCTGTTTCATTGGTCTATGGGTCTGTTTTATTCTATTAACAGGTTATTGAATAAACAAACTGTGGTATCTTCATGCAATGAATACTAATCAACAAGAAAAAGGAATAAAATATTGTTAGATATTATTACAACATGGATGAATTTCCAAATAACTGTGCTAAGTAAAAGAATCCAGACAAAAAATAGTACACCACGCTGCATGATTCCTAATGATTTAGAAACATTGAATGTATGCTGAAAAACTAATTAAAATTTCCCAAACACCTTAATTTTAAGAAAAATGCAACCTCATCTATAGTGGCATAAGCAGGGCAGTGGCTGTCTGAGGAGGGGTGATGTGGAGTGATGAGAAGGAAGGATTACAAAGCATGAAAAATTTTTTGGAGGAGATAACATATTCATTATCTTGATTGGGGGGATTCTTCCACAGGTGCATACATATATCAAAACTTATCAAAATTGCACGGTTTACTATATGTCAATTATTCTTCAATACAGCTGTTTTTAAACTTTTTAAATAAATTAAAGTACAGTGAAGTGTGTTATTTGAAATTAAGAATATTTTAATTAGATCCTATATAAATTATAATCTCTTGATTGTAGAATTTGAAGAGAAAAGAAATCTACAAATCCACTAGGGATTGTGCTGAGTGGCTAATTCTAGAAAAATCTGTTTGTAAGAGTATAATTTTTGATTTACTGTCTCCAGTATCATAAGATAAAGTAAATATCGAATAATGAAGTCTCCTAGAAATAGATTATATCATATTTCTGCAAACCATAAAAGAATAGAATATTTTCAAAAGAATAGAAAAATGGTATATCTGAGAGCACAGTCATAAATCTTATAACTGTTCTTTCAACATATTTAATAACATTATACATTAATTTTTCTATTTGGGCTAAGTCATCCAAACTGATACTAAACAGTGTATATTACCCAAAGCATTCAGATCAAAGTAAGGACTTTCCTAGAAGTTTATGTTTCATTACAATGGACAGAGTTGACCTTATAGAACTTATATATACCTTTCATTGTTTGCATTTTTATTTTACACATACATTTTTATCTTTTTATTCCAGCTTATATTTGCTAACCAGCTAGGTACATTGTTCTCTCTGAATTATTTCTCTTTTTATATTTTTTATTTATTTTTTTCTGAATTATTTCTCTTATAGAAATAGTATGTTATTCTATAACATAGAATAACTCTTGAGCATAATATAGTTCAAGAAGTCCAAAACAAACTTCCCTGTTAAAGATAATTTCCATAATCATTTAGAAAGTGAATTGAGGATTATTTATGTATTTTTTAAAGACCATGAAAAATAAAAGAGAATTAACACAAAGTAGAGAATTCATAAATAGGTAATAACTTTCTAAAGACAATAAGCAATGTTCCAGTAAGCCTTAGAAATAACTAATTAATTTTCCAACTGAGCAAACATTATTTTGTAGTCCTGTAGACCTAAAAAGGAAACTAAAGATAGTGAATAACAATGTGTTCCTAATTTTTGAAAGATTAAAAAAGGCTTTAGTCCTCATTGCTTAGCTACTTCAAATCCTATCAAAGTAATAGAACCTAAACTAGTACGAGAAATAAATTTTCACTTTCCTGGAAAATAAGGAAGTAAGGAGTAGCTTTTGTTTATGAAGAGTTGATTAGTCTGAATAAATCTTATGACTTTATGATGTTATAAAAGGATTATAACCCAAAACACTGTAGATTCAATGCTTTGATGATAATAAAATACTTGATGAAGCCCCATAAATTCTCACCACTATATTAGTTTTAGATGGCTTAGATAACAAATCAGCTGAGAATTTTCAACTGAAGGAAAAATAAAGATAAGTCATTTAAAGGAAAGGCATAAGTTGGCAAAAGCTATAGGAATTGGAGGTAGGACCAGCTAAATCCCAGTAATGTAGAAAAAGTCAATGGATACTGAAAAACTAAAATTTCCCAAGCACCTGAATTTTAAGTTGCAGCAAATGTGAGAGTGTTGATAAATACTACAGAAAAATGAGATCAGACTTTGTCAAATAAGAATTGTCTGGGAAGAAAAAAAGGCGTGATCAATGTTGAGCTGGAATTTGACAGAAATCTACAAAGATGTAAAAATATTTCAGAAAGCCTGTGTATGGACTGGGATGGAGGAAATAGAGAGAGCAGGGTCATTAGGAAGAATCAACTTGAAAGACTTAGTAGTACAATATCATAGTGGAGAATTGTTACCACTCAGTGAAAGTATCACTAAATAGCACTATTTCCCTACACCCACAATCTTCTCAATTGACTTCTTTGATGTTCTTCATGTCTATTTTCTAAAGACTTAGATTTTATCTCTTTTGCTGCTTCTGAAATGCTCTCCATGACTGTGACTCTATCTAATGTAATTTTCACATTTGGTGCCAGTTTTCTCAAATGATAACACAGAGCAGGAAGAACCACATAGTCTTGTTTCATACCAACTTGGTACCTTGATTCAAAATATAGATGAAATATAAAGAAACAAAAGACAGAAAAGAGTTGAAGATCTCCCACTAAGAAAATCTGGTGTTATAATTAAACACATGGACTATGAGAGAGTAAATTTTGGAGCAAGATAGGGTGAGAAATGAGCCTCTGAGCAGAAATGAACTGAGGGACCTGGAGTTGGTCTGTTCCCTTCTATTAATATTTTCCTAGAAACCTCATCTGCATTCTGGCTGCTTTCATCTTTAGCCCATGTCCTGGCACCTCACTTACTTTTCTTAAAGAAACTCAAGAAATAATAATGGTATACAGATTACTTACGTTTTAATGAAAATCTTCAGCAATGTTCATATTTTTATGTCAGCAACCAGACTTGCTCTGAATACAGTGTGACCCATAGCTTTAAAAACATATTTATTTCCATCAATAGTGTTTTTCTTGTATAGATTCTGACTTCATGCTAAAATGAAAAGGGAGGGTTCTGTATATATATATATATATATATGAGTGTGTCTGTAATGTGTCAATGGTATAAATTCTCTCTCTCCTCTTCTCTCCTCCCCCCTCCTCTCTTCTCCTCTCCTCTCCTCCCCTCTCTCTCTCTCTCTCTCTCTCTCTGAATTGCATACACTTAAGCTCCTAAGAAAAGATCTCTTACCTCTTACTCAAATAAAACAGGATTTTGAACTTTGGAGCTAAATGATAAACGAGATCAGTGTAAATACTCTGTAATTCAACAATACATAAGCTGCTTAAAAACAATCATCTTCATTTTGTGACAGTGCTTTCCTGTTTCCTCCCTCTCAGGCAAGAAGGGCAAGTCAGTCGTCGGCAGTTAACAGCCTCCAGTGTGAGTGGACGTTTCTTAACTGGATAACTTAGTTGTGTCCCCCCCCCCCCTACTTGGCCTGTAGTCGCCTCCAGCCGAGGGCGCTGAGCGGGAGTCTTGGCCCAGCGCCTGAGATCAGTGGCTACACCTTCCCAAACTCGCACCCTCGCTGTCCTTGTGCAGCCCAGCCACACGTACCCAGTCTGAGAATGCACCTCCAGGCGTGTCAATCCCGGCTGCATCTCTCCTGACCTGAAGGCAGTTTCCTTGGTGCAGCCGGGACTCCTGCAGGAGTCCCCTCCTGTCACAATCGCCGACAGGGGCAAGCCTAGTCTCCTGCTTGACTTCTCAGCTGCTTAGCTCCTGACCTGCCTGGAGCCTACAAGAAAAAGAAAGAAACAAAGCTCGTTCCTGCATTCTAGCCTCCCATAAGTCTCCCCCCTAGAAGGCTACTTTCCCCAGCCTTCTTTGTGCCAGGAAGGAGAGCAAACCTCCCGCGGGATCTGCCCGAAGTGACCGGGGGAGGGTCAGTCTTTGCATTGTTACTGGGGAAAGAGGAGGCAAGTATGCCTGGGGAGTGTGTGTTTGCGTGCGTGTGTGAGTGAGAGAGAGAGATGTTTTGCAGGAGGAAATAAGCAGGAAGAGGCACAGGGAGAGGCTGGTGCCCCAGCTCCCCTCGGGGCCTCCGAGAGCCGCACATGCTGTAATTCCCTTCCCAGAGCCTTACAGATTTCCACAAACAATGACATCACTCGCCGCCGCTGGCCTGATTACAGCTGGGGGGATTTTCCTGGGCTCGCGGCCGCCCGGGCGGAGACGGGGGAGCTCTCCGGGGTGCTGAAAGGGGCGGGGGCGCGGGCTCGCGGCGCGGCGCCCCCAGCCGGCGGAGGCAGCCGGGCCCGGCCGGGGGCGGGCAGGGGCGGGCCCGGGGCGTCCCAGGGCGGGGCCCGCCGCTTCTCCCGCCCTCATTGGCCGCTGGCGGGCGCACGTCACCCGGGCTGGTGCTCTCCTCCAGCCCCCGTGGAATTGGAGCCGAGGAGGAGCTGAAAATGCAGATTTAGCATCAAGCACAGACATACACTCGCTCTTTCTCTCCGGTACACACAGCTCCCCACATTCGCACCCCTGCCCGCGAGCCGGGCAGCCTGACTGCACGGCTTCCAAGCCAGCCAGATGCTGGAGAAGAACACACACTGATTTGCTGCTTCTCGAGCTCCTATTCAGTCTCTTTCTCTATACAAAGATTTTTTTAAAACTATATATATATACACATACACACAAACACATACATATATATAGTTTTTTTTTATTTGCACCTTCCCCCTGGGTCCCCTGCTCCGCCAGCCTGCGCGCCTCCTGGCACCACTTTTCACTCCCAAAGAAGGATGAAGGGTGGCTGTGTCTCCCAGTGGAAGGCGGCTGCGGGGCTCCTCTTCTGTGTCATGGTTTTTGCATCTGCTGAGAGACCCGTCTTCACGAATCATTTTCTTGTGGAGTTGCATAAAGGGGGAGAGGAAGAAGCTCGCCAAGTTGCAGCAGAACACGGCTTTGGGGTCCGAAAGGTAAGGTCTCTCATGCATTTCGCATGTTGTTTCAAAACGGGGGGCAGCCCTGCGCAATCTCATCGCAGATTTGCAAGTTTTCTCTCTTTCTCGTGCGATGCAGATATTTTGCCATCGGCTCTTTAACACGATATTGCCTCCAGTGATCTTTCACGGGTTATGTAATTAAAATGTCCTTCATCTGGACTAGTAAGGTCATCAAAATAATTTATTGCTCTTTGACTTGGTGGTGAAAATAGGATAACACCTTTTAAAAGATGCCATGCACCCGGGATGCTGTCCGAGGTACCAAGTTCTCCAGGCTCCCTGGAGATGGGGGGATGAAGCCCTGAACAGCTGGGCTTGGCATCGGCTGCTTGGCCAGGGACGTCTCCCCCACCCCCAACACCCAGAGAAAGAATAGTTTCCTACCCATGGGGCTAGAAGCTTGGACATTGCAATTCACCTCCGTGCTTCTCCTACCCCGCGCCGGGAGGACTTCCCTCCCAGTGACTTCAGTCCCTGCTCTTCTCCGGAAACAACAGCTCCCTGACTCTAGGAGACTTGGAAACCTGAACCAATCCCTCCAAAATCCGGGCGGAACCTCTACGCCCCCGGCCCAGCCCACGACCTCCCGCCCCCGGAGCGCACTTCTGGTTGGCTCCCTAGTTCTCAGCTCCCGGCTGTAGGAGCTGGAGAGGTAGATTTTGAGGGGAATTCCCTGTGAGAAGTCGAGGTGTCCTCTCCCGATACGTGGGCGGCCAGCCTGGCTTTCCCACGAGAGCGTGGGGATCCCCGTTCCAAGAAGTTGTGAGAGTTCAACACTTTGGGCAGCTGGATGAGGCTCCCAGCCTAGAACGCCTGGCGACTCCTTTGGAGACTCCAGGGTACCCACTCTGGGGGGTCAGGGGACTGGAGAGCGTTGGGTGGGGGCCGTGGCTGACCTGCCTGCTGTTCCAGCGAACTATCTGCCAGGGATCTCCGGTGTCCTTACGGGACCTGGCGCGGGGTGGGTGGAGTGTCGGTGCAGGGAGAAGCTGGGGCGAGGAAAACCCGAAGGACAGAAGGACGTGATTGATTTGGCTACCCGAGGGCAGGATGGCGGTCAGTGACATTCCAGGCTCCATCTCTTCCCTCCCGATCCCTGGAGGAGAGAGACGTGAAATGAACAGATGAGCTGCGGGTACCTTCGGTTGTTGTCTTTGCCTTGAGGGGCCAAGCAGACTGGGGCTCCTATTAGTCTTTTCCTTCCCGACTTCCCACGCCACCCGCCTCTCCTCCAGCCCCACACAAGGGCTCCCTCGGGTGCCGCGGGCTCTCCCGCCTTCAAATGGGTTTAGGCAGCAGTCAGGATTCCGATCCCCGGTAGGTTTGGCAACGAGTCTGACCGAGGTCTGGGAGGAGGCGCCGGGTCTGCCAGCAGCGCGCGGGCGGGTCTTGCAGAGAAGAACTTGTTGCTCCCGGGAAGCGTGGGTGGAGCAGGGGACAGAAGGCGCCAGCTGAGGGAGCACCCCGCTGTCTTTCTGGGGACTGTTTGGAGAGTGCCGCCAGCACAGTAAACAAGCAGAGTCTCCTTCCCTCCCCTCACCCCAAACTTGGCAAGACCCAAGACTCTATATTACAGTGATTATTGTTAGCTGACACTTATAAGGAACCTTTATGTGCTGGAGTCCTTACATACATTCTTACTTAATCTTCTCAACAACTCTGGGGAAGCTACTGCTATTATTGAGCCTATGGCATTGATGAGGAAGGCGGTTCAGATCGGAGGACAAGATAAAAACAGACGAGGATTTAAATCTAGATCTTTCAGAAGTGAACCTACGCTCTTACTCCTTAGTACCTACCAAACAGAGCTTTGCAGGGTATGTTGGACACTGGGGTATGCGGGAAAGAGTGTCTGTAGTGTAGTGAGGCTGCAGACACCTTTGGCTCCCTCCCCCCCCCACCTGTGCACCTTTTCATAGGGTAGGCAGATCTGGCTTCCCAGTGGTTTTCTCTCCCTTTGAACATATGCCCTTAAAAATCACAGATCAGATAACTAGGCCTCTTTTTCCCTCATTCTTTCTTGGAGAGGAGCCCACTGATTTTGCATCACAGCCTCAAACCTGCAATTCCCATCTGGGAGAAATGGGTTCTTACCTTACAACTTCTCTCCTTATCTCTCCATTATCTTTCTGGTAGTACCCCTTAACCAAATCCAGTGATTTTTGCCCTGGTACACATTTAAGTAACAAGCAGTCTATAACAAGATACCTCTGTCTGGTGGGCCTGCATGGTGCAACACCTGCCTAGAATAAATCTTCTCCTCCTCCTCCTTTGGATCGATGTCCTGCCCATTCTTCAAGACCTGATTCCAAATCTTCCCTGATGCTATGGACCACAGTGAGCCTTCCCTTCCCCAAATTCCTCTGGGACCACTAGGAAAAGCCTGTACTACGTAAGCTAGTACGTTCTATCACTTGTCCTCAGTCATTTCATGCATGTAAGTAAATATAAGTGTAAGTATTATCTTTCCACTTGAAAGGTAAATATTCAGGCATGGTATCTTCTATATTTCTAGTTTTCTCACTCTAACTAGCACATTACTGTACTTGCCAGCTTCCAAGGAAACTTCCTTAGCTTTATGTATTATTCCAGGTTTTCCAAACACTGTCCTGACTTGCTTCCATCATACTGCTCTATACTTTTGCCAATATTTGCTGTTCTCTTTGCATTTTAGACTCCTAATATGTCCTTCTCCTTCCTAGCTATGACATTCAGCATGCCTCCCAACTCCCTACCGCCCTCCTCTCTGATGCTCAGTGTCAGACCCCAAAGATTCTCATGATTATTTATTCATCCATATGAAGGCTAAACAAAACTGCTATTTTACTAAATAGCTATTTTACATCTTCTTCTAACTGCACAAACCTATGGTAGAAATTACTGGCATCAGCCCTAATTCTTAGATAAAAATCTTAACCTTTCAAGAGGTTAAGTAACTGTTCATATCTGGAAAGTGAAGACTCAGATTTAAAGCCAAATTTCTTTGACTGAAAATAATTGATTGTCTACATCCTGCTGCCTCCAGGAAGCCCTCCCTGACTATCAAGAATTCTGCCCTTGAGGCATCATTTTAGAGTTCTGATATTATTCCTTTCTTTTCTTTTCTCACTTTTTTCTAGATTTACCATTTACATGATATTAATATATGAATACGTGTCATTAATGTGTATATGTATGTACTTCTTCAGGCAGACTATAAATCTTCTAGGAGAAGAAATGATATACTATGTCCTATGTCTTTTTATTGTCCCCATATCTAGCCTGGTGGCCTGTATATGAGATATTCAATAAATATTTGTCAATTATTTGATTATTTGGTTCTTATAAGAAACATATAAATAAAATATTTATGTTTCCTCTCTAAAATAAAGTAAAAATACCTATAACTTTACCCGAGGTGTGTAGAGATTAAGGTTTTTTATTTTATTATCATGACCTGACCCTGGTCCAAAAACCTATATCCACTAGAGAAGACATATATATCCAGGAGAGTGAGTGAGTTTACAATAATGACAAAAGCATTATTCCAAAGAGTGTTTTAAAATTCTCAATTCACTGCTAGTTTTAATTCCTCTAAAACAGAAACAAAAATTTTTATTGAAACAATATGTAGAGAATTCACCAAAAATCAAGTAAGAGTTAACATTTTTAAAAAAAAAATCAACACCTAAGTTTGGAAAAAAAAAGTTAACCTGGTAATTAGGTGGTTTTGATTTATTATTTGTGTTTTTTTTTTTTATCCACAGAGGACGCTGGGGTGATTACACGAGTAAAATCATCTGATCATTTTCATATGTGTGAGAATCTTTTCATTTAAAAAAAATCTAGTAATAATTTTGCTGTCAAGTAGTGAAACAATAAATTTCTGGTCATTTCACTTTTATTGAAGTGTAATTGAAAAAAGAGCTCAGCTTAATAAATTTTCACAAACTGAGCATTTATCTGTAACCAGCACCCAGATCAAGAAACAAACTATTATCAGCATCCCTGAGCCCCCCTCTTGTTCACTTGTGTTGTTTTCAGTTCGGGGCTATTATAAATATTGCTTTTGTAGATACTGAAGTATATGTACTTTGGCAAACACATATATGCCATTCTGTTGGCAATTGCCAGGAGCAGAATTGTTGAGTTGAAGGGTAATGCATACATTCAGCTTTAGGAGGCTGCATCAGTTTTTTATCACTGTGTAACAAATCACTAAAAATCCTAGTGGCCTAAAACCATGCAAATTTGTT